GTTAACATAAACATAAGGAATTTTTTCTAATTTTTTAAAAATATAAATGCATCTATTGTGATGTTTTTATGTTTTGCTCATTTTCTTAATTTTTCTGCTATGCGGTTTAACTTGGAGTAAATAAAAATATGCTATACTATATATAATTGGATTTATTGTCATACATAAAAAAAATACTAAGAAAAAGTTTATATATAAATATTTTAGTTAACATAAACATAAGGAATTTTTTCTAATTTTTTAAAAATATAAATGCATCTATTGTGATGTTTTTATGTTTTGCTCATTTTCTTAATTTTTCTGCTATGCGGTTTAACTTGGAGTAAATAAAAATATGCTATACTATATATAATTGGATTTATTGTCATACATAAAAAAGCATTGAAATAGTTTTGAATGTCGTACAAAATGTGCAATTTGTATTTGTTTAAGTTGCTTTAGTAAGCGAATTAAACAAAAATACAAATGCAAAGCAAAAAATTTACATAAATTGTTATTGAGAAAAGCCGGCAATGGCCAGGCCCAATTGATCTGCGACTGTACTTGCCTTAATTCGTTAGTAATTGCTGTCATAGTTATCATAAGATCGTTTTGACAAAGTCATTGAAAATAAACTAATTCCAAAGTTTAGACTCACTAACACAGACGCACGTGTATTAACGGAACTCAATTGTAATTAAGCTTGCATAAATTAAGGTTTGAAGCTGACGCGACTCAGACTGTAACGTCACGTACTACCTTACCATGAAGTCCGGATTTGATGACGATTCGAGTAAGCGAAACGAGACAAAACGAAACGCTTTGAAATTGAAGGCGAACCTTAGGCAATGTCCAGCATTGGCCTCAAAGATGAATTGGGTGAGATTGGGCCAAAAATACAGATATAAATTGAGAAAAAAAAAAACAACACAAACACAAACACACACTTGCACATGCACACTCAGTTGCCAATTGAGTCACACAATTGACGGAGTCTCGAGATGTGTGAAAACATGTTTTCCGGCAGAATAACTTTTGCTTTCCTCTGAAGTGTCAATGGGTGCCGGCCAGTCATTATCATATTGTTCCCAGCCAGAATATTTGGCAAAGTATAATATTTGCTGAATTCCTTAGCGATTTTTAGAATCGTCACGCTTAGAAAATAGCTACATATAATGCACAACTTAACGTGTGCTAAACAATGTAAATAACAACAAATTTGTAAAGCCAAAGTCAACAATAGAAATAGAAAATAAAAAAGATAAAAAATAAATAAAATAGATACAATATCTACAATATACAAAAGCTATCCATTTCAAAGCCAACTGCCGATCGGAGCTCACAGTGGGGCTGCTCACTGGGGGGCTGCAGCCTGATTCTGACGTAGGAGAGCGAGAGCCTGTTTGTTTGCATTTCCTTATTGTCAGGCTGTCTAATTATCTAATTACTGACGTGGCGTGACTATTTAAGGGTTTTTCCCGCATTTACTTCTCGCTCTCAGCTTTTAGGCAATGATTAACAGTCGACTATGTGCTATGATTATTCATTAGTCAAACAACGATCAACAAACCGGCAAACAAACGGCGCCCAAACAACTTCAAATGCTGTGCGAGCGTATCTTGTAGTTACAGCCGTAGGCATGAGCGCGAATCTTGTAGCTGTTGGATGCCGACGACTTAGCTTGGCTAATACACATACATGTCTAATTTATTGTCATTTGACGGAAGTGACACACACACACACACCGACACACACACTCACACACACAGAGAGAGACATGCGGACAAAGTCATTTTTGAAGGTGCTTGGAATTATTCACGTATAGATTGTTTCATAGATACAAAAACAATTCATTCTTGACTTTTAGTGGGTCAGCAGCGTCGCGTCATTGTTCGCGGCAGAGAGATCAACACATCGCAGACAGTGAGCACCTGTTTTCTTGGTGCTGTTGTTGTTCAATTTGAATGGTATACCAAATTGCAGCGAACTTGAACTTCAAACCGCTGCAGAGAGCCGTCAGCCGAACAACCTCATAACTCTGATATACAAATGTATCTGTAGCTTGCATATCGGCCAGCCGTCTCTGCTGCTACTGCTGCTGTTGCTGTTGCTCATGCTTTGCGCCCCAAACACTAAAACGGGTTCAGAGCTCAGCTCCAATCAGCTGTCGTCGTAGACAAACGCCGCTCACTCGGTCGGCGTCTTTTTGGCTTTTTGGCTTTTTGGCTTCAGTCGCGTTCGCAACTTTGGCAATGCAGTTGCATAATTTGCCACAGCGTCCGCTGTCGCATGCCGATCGAAGTGTATGTATGCCTTTCCCATGAGAGTTTGGTTGCAGCAGAATAATTTGAACGCTTTGTTTGGCGGCTAATTTATGGCTTGTCTTCTATCGCCGTCTAGCTGGCCAACACTTTTGGCCAGGTGTGTGTTAATGCAGCTATGCGATTCAAGGCAAGGATACACACTCGGGCATACATAGAGACAGACAGACAGACAGACATACGTACATATATAGGCTGGTATTTGTTATCATGGATGGTCGTTTTGCGTTTTTGTTTTGATTTTGAAATCTTGAACTTATTTGCGCTAATGGCGTGACAAAGCTGACTTAAAGCCGAAACCGAAACCGAAGCTAAAGCAGAAGCAGAAGCAGAAGCACAAAACATATGCAGAAAGAGAGAAAAAATGCGACAAAACTATTAATGAATTTATGGTGTTTTGTCAAATCTGGGGCTAAGCTCATAGCTGAGGGGTTTGCTGAGCTTGCTGAGCTTGGTTCATTGATCTGAGCGGGTTCTTGCAATGAGATATTTTAATGTTTGCTTTATATCTAATTGTCAAGTACTTGCGGCTATGTCATTTATTGCTTGTCTCCGCGATTTGCGGGGGATTTCGCTAAATGATTTCTCCGTCGAATGGGCGGCGCTTGATTTATGAGTTGCGCCGTAGGTGGGGCTGGCTCGGCCATGATCTTCAAAATCGGTCAGGTTTGTAATCAGTTTAAGATCAGAGCACATCCGCTATTAAACCGACACAGCCTCAATGATAACAGTCACGGCGGAAGGTGAGCATCTTGTGCCGTGCGTGTATTTCCAAACTGAGACGAAAACTAGTTTTCAATATATTATTAAGCCTTAAGAATGTTCGCACACTGTGAGTGCTGGTTTAAATTTAATACGCATCTATATGTATGTGCGCACAATTCTTATCAAGTGCCCTGTTGCAGCTGCCAGGCGAGGTCAGCTCAGAATGCGCAGCTACCACATGTTAGTCAGTAAGCCCAGGAAGAGAACTTCAACCGGGCTTGGTAATGTGACGGGCTCTGGGCAAGGGCAGTGACGTAACATGTTTATGATTCGTGTAGCTCGTAAATCGTTGCCCCAGTGCCGTTGATCGTTTATTGAACTCCATTGTGTCTGGTCGGAGGCAGTGTTTTGTTTTCGATTTTATTTGTTTTCTCTTTTCTCTTTTACCTTTATTTTGCTGTTGGCCCAGTGGCGATTCCTGCTCCTGCCATTGAGGTAGGTCGCAGATCTTTGCACCGCACTCCGGTCGACAGCAATAAAGAATCACGAAGGTCACTCGCATGGCAGGCAGTCGCACGCGATCCGCAATCTGTCAGCGATTTAGCAAACTTGTTGAACTTCGACTGCTTGCAACACACGCGCAATGCGACTCGATTGCGATTGCGACTGCGACTGCGACTGCTACTGGAATTGAGCTAATTGCATAACTCACCTCGTACTCTAATTTATTTCGCAGAGCTTTTGCGTTGCGCTGCAATTGGCATGACGCTGATTTTCTTTGGAGCGGCGATCTTTATGACAAATCCAAGCAAACTGATCGGCGATTGGGTAAGCACTGCCACCAGGCGCTCTTTATTCTCCCGCATTCTAACTGATCTTCCTTTGGTTAGCAAATCAGCTTGGGCCCCAGCACACTGCTCTACAAGCTGTGGCTCTATCCACCGTTGGACGTCTACATCACGGTCTACATGTTCAACTACACGAACGTGGATGCGTTCATAAATGGCACCGATGCCAAGCTGAAAGTGGAGGAGGTTGGACCTTACGTCTACCAGGAGATTCTCTCCAATCACAACGTAACACTGAACTATCACAATAACACCATCACCTATACGCCACGGCGTGAGTATATTTTCGTGCCGGAGCGCTCGGTGGGCGATCCAAAAGTCGACCGCATCCGGGCGCCCAATATACCCTACATGGGCGTCAGCACGCAGGCGGCCAGCCTCTCCATGTTCGCAGCACTGGGGCTAAGTGCGCTGGCCAAGCGACTCAATGCTCAGCCCATGCTGGAGGTCACCGTTCACGACTACATGTGGGGCTACGAGGATCACTTGGTGCACCTGGCCTCCAAGTTTGTGCCCAGCCTGATCGATTTCTCCAGCTTTGGCATTATGGAGAAGGTGAGTTCATACTTAGTTTTTTATTATATTCAGCTAAATCTCTGCTTCTTCTGCTTTGTTCCAGCTGTTTCGGGAGGGAAACGAGAGCAACGTGGTCAATATGCATTTGGTGGAGCCCAAGGATAGGCATGGAGTTAAGCTGCCCGGCGCACCGCGCGCCTACTCCCTCAACAGCGTCAACTACGAGCGCGGCTTCAAGCGCTGGGAATACGATGAGGCCACCAAGTAAGCAATTGTCAGCTGTTTCCCCTGTCGGTGTTAATCCCTTCCCTCTTCTGCTTCTTGTTGCAGCGGCACTCACTGCAATCGCATTTGGGGAAGCCACGATGCAACACTCTTTCCACGCGACATGAACGAGCACGACACGTTCTACATGTATCGGCGTACTTTCTGCCGGCTCTTGCCCATGAGATTCAATCGCACGCTGACCTTCAAGGGCCTCGATGCCTACGAGTACGTCATGAACCCCAAAATCTTTGACAGCGAGCTGCACAGCCCAAACTCTTCGTGCTTCTGCAAGAACAACCAGTGCCTCAAGCGGGGCGTGGGCAATGTCTCGCCCTGCTACTACAGTAAGCGAACCGGAAACTTAAAATTTTTGTATATATATTTAACTCTTTCTCTCTCTCTCTCTCTCCCTCTCGCTCTCTCGTAATCCTGCCTAGATATGCCCCTGGCTATTACCTATCCGCACTTTATGCATGCTGATCCCACCTTGCTGAGAGCCTTCGATGGCCTCAATCCCAACGAGTCCCGCTTTACATCCACTGTCATGCTGCAGCCGGTAAGTGCAGAGGAATCCGCTTTCTTTGCTTTCTACGAAGCTCACTTAGCCAATCTCTACAGCAACTGGGCGTACCCTTGCACGTCCATGTGCGTCTGCAGGCCAACCAGGTGGTGGGAAATATCAAATTCAATCGTTTGATGGAGCCCTTCGAGAATCTAGTGCTGCCCCTGCTCTGGGTGGATCTCACCATTGAGAACCTGCCACTGAGCCTACAGCTGCTGACGCATACGCTGAAATATGCTTTGCCCATACTGCAGCTCGTCATCGCGTCGAGCCTCCTGCTGGGCGGGCTCTATCAGCTGATCGCAGCGTTTATGCTGTGCTTCTGGTCGCCGCCGGCTGGTCTGCACAAGGCGGAGCTGGGCGAGAAGTCGATCAACGTTCTGGGCAACCTGACCCTGGCCACGTCCCTGCACAAGGCCACCTCGCCGGAGTGCGTTCCGCCGGAGGCACAGAAGCTGCTGCCCAATGACGATGCGTACAGGCTTGAGGTGTGAAAGGGTTCAGCAAAGTTTGCAAAAATTGGACAATTACCTCAATCCGCAACGGACAGAGATCCGACTCTGTCCAGACTCTGTGATACTAAGAGCTAAGCTAATAAGGAGATTTGGTGTGGATTATATTCTGCTCAATGGAAACAACTTAGGGAACATTCTATGCTTATGTAAAAATTAAGGTTAACGGTAATTCAGATTCGTAGTCGCATGCAATGTACAGCTAAGCTTGCACTCGATAAATATACGCAGCATGATAACTGTAAACAACTAACGATAAGCGATTAACAACTAACAATTAACAACTATCGACTATCGATTATCGACTATCGATAATCGACTATCGTCTATCGTTTCACATTTCTTTTGAGAGTAGCGCTGGACGGGCTGTGGCCTTAATGTGAGGCAATCGTGTCCTCAATCCAGTTTAGGTAATACGAGATGCGCAAATAGACATCCGGAAAGTTCTCCAGGGCACAGCCCGAACCGAATGAGGTGACGCCGGCCAGTATCCAGGGACCGTCGTGCGACAGTCGGCACTGCAGCGGTCCGCCGGAGTCGCCCACACAGGTGCCGCCCTCTCCGTTCAGCTGGCCGGCGCACAAGTGTCCGCCGTGAATATTCACAAAGCTGCCGTAGGCGTCTATGCATCTGCAAAGGGGTGTACGAGGGTCGTAATGGCAGTCCGATATGGCAGTCTTGGCTGTGCAACTCACCTGCGATTCTGATGCAGTGGCACCTGGGTCTTGAGCAGCTGACTGGACAGGTCGCCGCTGATGTTCGCCTTGCCCCAGCCGGTGGCCACGCAGTCCATGAAGGGCAGCTCGTGCGAGTCCTGGCCCCTGGCGAACTGCGTCTCCTGCTCCGACTCGAGCTGCAGCTTCATCAGCTTGTCGTTGCGCCGTCGCGTGCGCTTGAGGCTGCGCGGGGAGCGCTGCGACTGCCTCAGCGACTGACGCAAGCGATTGAGAATCTTCATATTCATCAGCTCGCGCATGGACATGTTGATGGAGCTGGGCGCCGTCACATTGCGGTAGCGCCTGCGGCTCTGCGCACTGCGCAGGAAATTGTCGATCTTCTCGGGCACATCGTCCAGCTCGAGCTGTTGGCTGAGCATGTCATCWTCTGATTCTGATTCTGACTCTGTCGCCTCCTGGACTGGCCGCTCGCGCAGCATGAAGGGCAAGCAAATGCGTCGTATGTAAGAGCTGCGAGAGAGATCCGCCGGCTTGGAGAGCTTCATGAGCACCACATCGTGCCGGAAGTTGTGGTAGTGATGGTGCAGCACAATTTTCTCCACGGGAATGCGCTGCTCATTGCCAGACTCCACGTTGCGATCGTGTTCGCCCAGCACCACTGTCCACAGCGGCGGAATGGGCAGATTAAAGAGATCGCTGCAGGGAGGAGTAGAAGGAGACCATTGAGCTGCATCCATTGATTCGATTGGGGGCATTTCACACTTACTTGTGCACACAGTGGGCGGCAGAGAGTATCCAATACTGATGGATGAGCACAGCACCACACCAATGGCCCAGGAAGCCCAGCGAGGGATGCAGCAGCTCCAGCGATGCCTGCCACGGAAACTGGCCCTCCTGCGTGCTGGCGCCAGCAATAATGCGAGCCTCACGTCCTCGCGGCTGGCAGCCGCAGTCTGTGGAGCACTCAAGTTGCTAATCGAAGCTCATCGAACACGTTGAGTAGACACTCACCTGTCTCAAACTGTGCGGCGTTGTGCACCAGCAGCAGCAGGCAGAGCCAGCGCAAGGCCAGAGCCAGCTGCTGTTGTTGTCGCWGCCGTTGCTGCTGCTGCTGCTGATGATGGGGTGACAATAGCTTCATCATGTTGTCGCTGCTCGCCAGCGGCTGATCGCGCGCATGACTGACCCAGACCCAGAGCCAGACCCAGAGTCAAAGATAGAGCCAGAGCCAGACCCAGAGTCAAAGATAGAGCCAGACTCAGCTGAAGCAGATGTCAGATGACAGATGCCAGTAGCGGTATCCTGCTGCAGCTGCTGCTGCTGCTGATGTCGACTATTGTTACGGTTACGGTTACTTTTCACTTTCACGCTTGCAGCAGTCAAATGAGCTGGCGAACTAAACTCTGGTTACTTTGGATTATTTTTGTATTTAATAACACGCATTCGCATCTCAAAGGCCTTTTCAGGCCATAAATATTATAATTTACGCGATCTTTCCCAGCCCAACTTGACTTTTCTTTTTACGCGCTGCGCATTAATTAGCCAGCGGTGGGCGTGGCCGGCGATGCCTAAGCCGCAAAATATGCGCAGCACCAGAATCGAGCAAAGTTCAACTCTATTTCCAACACAAACTGAAAACTTCCAACTTCAAACTTCAAACTGGGGGCCCGTGCCCACGGTTATATAATGTCGATGCTGCTCTGTGGCCTGGGGCGGAGTGTATGAACGGCTCTTTGTTTTCGACAGCGGCGCATGCGTCGCGTTGCTCTGCTTGGGAGTCTCGATGATATTTGGCTTTGTTGTTGTCGCTGTTCAGCTTTGTAGTTGGGCTAATGCGGCTCATGCGAATCGTTTGCGACGAGCGCCAAAATGCAACTGGCGCTGTTGGGGTTTGCCAACAAACATTTACCGTTTCGGTTACAGCGATGCTGCGCAGTTGGCGTCGACATTTGACTGTGGATAGTGTTGCATGCCTCGCAAGCAGCAAGCAGCAAGCAGCAACAACAACAACAACAGAGGCAACAGCGGCAGCGGCAGCAGCAATAATAATAATAACAAAGCGATGCCAACGAAAGTGAAAAGACAGCGCGAGAGGCGGGCAAAAGAGCAGCTAACAGACAACAACAACAAACAGCAACAACAACAAACAGCAACAACTACAAACAACAACTTCCACATTGATGAGGCTTGCTTTGATTTGAAGAAAAGGGTAAGTCCGGCCAACCTGAGCAGATCAAATCATTCACCAACGAACGACTAAGCCGGGCTCAATGAAACCATTTGAAACCGAGCCGTGCATTTCCGTTCGATTCAGCACTTCGATTATGCTAAGCGGGCAGCCGACAACAGCAATTATATGCAATTTGATCTATTGCTATAATTAGAGGAATGCCGTGAAAAGCGTTTAATGTCAGCTTTATTTAATGGCATGCAAATCTTATTTATCAGCCAACACCAACTGCTGCAACCCGCACGAATAGCCTCAGCGAATGCTTCAGAGATGTCAAAATATATCAAGCGCTGATTTAGTTAGCATGTGCTTAATCTGGATTATCGATCGTGTTCGATATATCATTGAATCGTTATCTAACTGTAAACAAAGCAAGTGAACAAGCATATGTAAAATACTCAAGAATTTCTCATTTAATCAGCATATTATTATATTATACAATATTTATACGCTCCCATAAATCAGCCCTACTCATTTGCAATCATACTAGTTGAAGTTAACACGAACAGCGAATGCGACTAACTAATTGTTCAGGTTAATATTGCTGATTCAGAGTAGCAGCAGCCTATTGTGAATAATTGATGCGATGGGTCAATGCGCCTAGTTAAGGTGAGCTGCTGCATATGGAATATGCCAGCGTTACGTATACGCCTAGTAGAGCAGAGACATTCTTGGCAGGTCATTTAGCAGACATGGCGAAGGCATGTTAATTGCCGACATTTAAGTAATCCAATCGCTAAATCTGGTTGCCGATATCGCCGAGAATTAAACATTAGCCAGCTGCCTCAGATTACGTGATGGATAAGCGGGAATGGTGGCCGTCCGACAATGCAGAGTGAGTGAATGCGGCTGAGTGAGCGAGTATCTGTAAGTGCAGTTGAGTGTTGGTGCGGGTTACTTTCGTTTTCATTACATACACACCACCACCAACAACAACAACAACAACGATAGCAACATCAGCAGCAGCAGCAGCAGCTGACTCTGCAGGCTGTGTACGTCCGGCCGGGCTGTAACCCGGACCGCCGCGCACCTTTCTTGAATTCCGCGTTGATGCACAAACTCATAAGTCATGTTGCTGCTGCCACAGCAGTCACAACACACACAGCCAGTGGGCACTGTGCAATGGGGAAGTTGTTAATGCAACGACAGCAGCAGCAGCACCACCAGCAGCAGCAGCAGCAACAGCAACAACAACAACAACAACGGCCTGTTTACGCAGCCAATTGATCATTTAAGCCAAGTTAAGTCGCCGCTGAGCTGCCGGCTTGTCAATTTGTTGTTGTGGGCGTTGTCATTGCTGTTGCCCATGGCTGTTGCAGTTGTTGCTGCTGCTGCTGCACAATTAAGAGGCGCCTTGAGGTCCAGCAATTTGTTGATGTTTGCCTGTTTGTTTGTTTATTTGTTTGTTGTTGTCGACAAAAACGAACGTTAATCACAAAGTCAAAAATAGCTTGCACAATCGGCGCAGATTTTGAACGGCTTAAAGTTCATGCCTCGACTAAGTCAAGTGAACTTTCTCAAAAATATTTGATAAATTTAATGCAAGAAGAAAACAAAAACTAAAATCGAATGAAATTTTACGCAAACAACGTGCGACGACAATCAACGGAAGCGTTGCGGGTCACATGGACTCGACAGCAGCAGCAGCAGCAGCAGCAGCAGCAGCAGCAGCAGCAGCAACATCAACAGCAGCAGCATCAGCCAAATTAGTCAAGCTAAACCAAATGAGCACGTAAATCTTTGCGTTGGCGTTGGGAGAAATCGTGGTTCGAGACCTTGAATGCAGCGCAGTCCACAACTGTTGAGCAGCGGTGCATTGGGCTGCAATTTCACTTTGCTGTTATTCAATTGCAATTGCATCATAGCGGCAACATGTGGCCAGCTGATCGGCAACGGATGCTGCGCGAGAGAGTTTCTTAAACCCGACAAAATCGGACAAAAATAGCGAAACGAGCGTCGACAGCTGATCGACATTAGGCAGCGGCGTCGTTTCGTATTTGCATGCCAACAGCAGCAGCAGCAGCAACAGCAGCAACATCAGTTAATATCGAAGCGTATCTTTGAGATGCGCGCATTACATTACCAAATGGCAGCGGGCGCTTTCCATGCGCAAACTCTTTGCCGACGTTGCCTCACATGAAAACGAAAGTGCTTCAAGTGGTTAGCCAGATGTTGTTGTTGTTACAGCTGTTGTTGTTGTTGTTGTTGTTATTGCTGCTGTTGTTTAGGTTATACTCTTTGCTGGCGCTCACGAATAAAAGTTGCTATCTCTGTCTCTTTGTTGCTGCTGTCGTCGTGTTTCCTGTATCTCCAAGTTGCCGCCGTCGCAGTTGCCGCTG